GGAAGGAATTACCCTATTAGGTTAAGTCATGCCCTTTGGAACCACAGGAACACTGTTAGCACTGAGTTAGTGGAGATTTATATTGCTGCAGCATAGTGGTGGCTAGTGGAAGGACAAATTCTTCCCATTTGCTCTTACTTTTTTTTCCTTTTACTGAGAAGATACAGGCATCAGATAAAACTACTTAACCTAACAACTTTAACTTGCTTATACGAAACACAAAAATTCTTCCACTGACAGTATTGTTCAGCTGGGTCATTTGAAATATTCTGAACTATGCAAGTACCCGGCAGGATGGTCACACCATGCTCTGTGTCTTCGTGGAGCTTGATACGTACGTCTGGAGCTGGAGGGCCACTTTAGCACTAGCATTCACGCCGTACCAGTGTGCTGCTGTGCATCTCAGTGCTCCCATTCCTGCCTTGCTTTCCAACAGCAGTCCTCTGGGCATGCTTACTGGAAACATTTCACGTTTGACAAAACAACAGTTTTCAGTACGGAAACAAATGAGAGAAACTTTCAGTCTCTTGGACCTCGTAGAGGCGAGGGACCATCTCAGACAGGTATTCCCCTACCACTTCTTCCTTTCATCACTACTGAGGGCTGTTTCTCATTTCTCCCCTAATCATCTCCTCCTCCCGATTCTTGTCCATGATTCCTGCTGTACTTCTCTTAATGTTCCCCTTTTTCTGCTTTTCCTATTTTCTCATGACCTGTCACTGGTATCAAGTGCCTTTCCTCCTGATGGTTTTCCCACTCCTGCTCCAGATCTTTTCTCCTGAGCTGATGTCCTGGAGTCTCCACAGCAGCCACTCCGCATCTGCTGTAGGTCAGGAAGAGTTTTAAGCATGTGTAGACTGTACACAGGCTAATCAGGTCTGCAAACCGTGTCTTGCCTCTGTTCTTCACCCCTCGTGGCTCCAGTAGTTTCATTTCTGGTTTGGATTTTCTGCCAAATGCGGAAGCTGGTGAAGGTCAAGAGGCAACATGCGAAGATGGATAGGTTGAGAGAAGAACTGGGAAAAGCTGTTCCTAAGTTGTGTGGGTATTTCAGAATCTTAGTAAAACAGGGAAAATCATATAAAAATCAAATGAGTTCAAGGACAAGCCTAGGAATCAGGCTACCTAGTCTCTCTAAATAAGCACCCAAGTAAGAATTGATATTTATTCCTCACCTGAAGTAAGCCACTCTTTTATCCTCCTCTCATATGCCTCATGGCCAGAGTTTTAGTGTCACCTACTTGAAAATTTGCCTCCAGTCCGACTTAAAGCCGTTTAGAGATTTTTTTAAGAACTATTTTAAAGATTTAAAAAACTATTTTCCTGTTAGATTCTGCAAAGACGATGAACGTCACGTACCAGGGCACTGCGAGGGGCCTGCGTTATAGGGAAACCAAGCTCACGGAGAAGGGAGAGAATAATGGACTTTTGTTTACAGCCTCAGATCTATAGGAATGTATCATAAAATCCAGTTATGTGCATGCCTTCCGTGAGTGTTCTCTGGTGGTCACAAGCAAACAAGAATGTAAAATGTAAGTGGAAAGGAAAGCCTTTTATTTAGAAGTATGCTCGCCGTGCTCCGAGGAGAGGAGCCATCTTCTTCGAGCGGGGCCTCCCATGGTAATTACAGCCATGCCTTACTGAAAGCATATTTTGTGGACTCTGTGTGGGGAGTGATAGCACTTCTCAAAAGGCAAGCGCTAGAAGAGCTCCCATATGTTTCTGATCGAATTTGAAGTCTAGACTTGCTTTATTTAGTTTCTTTTGCTCTGCGCTCGCCTAGCTCGAGTTTTTAGGAGTTCTTTTAAAACTGGAAAAAAACGGGGTGTGCTGCTTACGTTAAAAATAAATGTAAAACTTTTCCTTTTAAAAAAGTGCGGGCATGGGGGCAAGAGTTATCCTCTGCTCAAAACCCCACTGAGCTCTTCAAAGGAGGAGTCTCTGCAGCAACATGAGGGAGTTATTAAATACATACTTAGTCCACAATTTTCATTGGTAAATTCTTTATGTCTGCTTAATGTGCGCTAGTTAGAAGGACTGATTCTTTCTGCAGACTCGTTTACTCAACCCTGGGGACCTATGATCCCCTGCCCCTTTAGCACTAACTTTTACAAACACAGTTTCCTTTTTTTAAAAAAAAATAAAAAATAAAATAAAAAAATCAGCAGACTGTTAAAGGGGCCAGGCAGTGGGACTCGCCCCCAAAACTTGAAAACACAACGAAAACGCTTGAGACAATACCAGGACTTGCTGCAGCAGTGCCATTTTTATACGAAGGAGCTTTCTATGAATCCGGAGCAGCCGTTTGCAGGCTGGGAGCAGCTCGGTGCAACTGCTGGAATCGCCCCGATAACGCAGAGAAGACGCTCTCCGTGCTGTCTCTCCGGGTATCATCTTTTGGCCCCAGACTAAACATTTAATTGGGCTTAGTCATATATTTCCTCGCTGCCATGGCAGCTCAGCCCAGACCTGGGGGAGGTTGTTTTGCTGCGGCTGCCCCAGCTGCGCGTCCACAGGCAGGCTGCAGCTCCCTCTGCTGCTCCTCCTGCCTGCCTCCGCTGCACAGCTGCCATTTGGAGGGGCTGGCAGCCTGCATTTATGTAACCTTTGCTCAACTCCATGCTCAGAAAGCGGTCACGCCGAAGTCACGCCAGGTTTCCATGGACCTGTGATTTTCGGAGGTGCCTGCTGCGTTATCCCGGGGTGGCAATTTGGGTGCTGGGTCCCTGCAGAGCTCCATCCTGGCTGGCACATCCAGCCAGCGCCCCGATGTGATCCTTCAGCACTCCTGACCCTGAGGTTCCTGGTAGAGGAGGGGAAGAAAGGGTCTGAAGCCTGCTCCCAGTGTAAAATGGTCAGGTATTGACTTGTCACCCTGGCAGGGAAATCTAGAGACAGGCAATTTCTGGGCTTATCTTTTCCTTTGCTTTTTGACTTGAGCTTCAGCTCGTGCCTTTGTTACTGTGTGCCGGTGGCAAACGAAGCCAAGGTCTCTTCCTGAGCTGACCCTCTGTGCTGGGCTGTGCCCAGGGACCCAGGAGCATGGCCCATCGTGCTGTGACCCCGACACTGCCCAGGAGACCGTCGGCTGTAGGACTGGAGGTGAATGGTGCTTTTGCAGGTTTCTCAAGCCTCCCCTTTTCCTTTATTGGTTACAGAGGGTGCCTCTGACTTGTGGGTGCAGATCCTGCTCCCCCAGCAATAGTGTGTGGGTTTAAGGGGCTGGCATGAAACCCTGAGCAGCAGCACTGCCCTGAGAGCAAGGCAACCCCATTAGGGGCAGAGGAAAGGGACAGGAGCTTAGGGCAGATCTGCTGGTGCCTCACAGACATCCCTGCCCATACCCGGGGGAGGAAAGCACACACCAACATACAGATGCAGAGGGGCCCAGAAACATACACGTGTCTCCATCAGGAGGTCTTTGTGGTGCAAAGCGAGGGGCTCGTTGCTGTGCAGAGCTGCACGCAGGGCACCACACCACAGACCCTCGCAGCGCCTGTGGCAGAGGGGCCCCTAGGGAGCCACAGCTTCTCCTTCACGTGGCAGTCTGCAGCAGGAGCCCGGAGCTGGCTGGGGTAGTTTTCAGCTCAGTTCTGGCTTGAAGGAAAATTCAAAATAGCAGTCAGGGTGCAATGGTTCAAGGAGGGAATAGGGCTCAGACCTGATTTTGCTTCAGGTTCGGTTGGAGTGATTAAATCCAGGATATCCTCCCCCTGCGCTCTCCAGTCTCTGATCCAGCCATGCTAAATACCAGTTTGACTAAATCACATTATTTGAATTTATTGTGCTGCATTCAACCTCATATTAAAATGCATGCTTGGGCTTGTATCTTTTAAATTTGATATGAAGACAGCTGTATGCATTTTCCCTTGTTTGTAAATTGTATACACATGATATGATGTTTTCAGTAAGCGCTAAACAATGCAATGTGAGGCATTTCAACAAAGGAATAATTTAATGCAACCCAGCAGAAATGCAAAGCCTTAGAAGTGGTTCTTTATGAAACTACAAATTTTGGAAATGGGTCCAGAAGACCTACACTGGAGCAACACAAGAAACAATAGTTAACACAGTAACATTTTTTCTGTAAGAAAAATACACCATGAAGAAATTATATTTTGCCTTTTTTTTTTTTTTAGCTTGTTGATTTACTTGAACGCTTCAGTTGGCATATTTTCTGTTTGTTGCATGTTAGGGATTAAAATTCTCATTTCTTCACCAAAAGAGAATATTGTCATACAAGATGCAATTCAAGCCAAACAATTTTTTTTGGTCAAGTGTAAATTTGTCTCATATATTATGTTCCAGTTCAAAGGATATTAACACATTGTTGCATTCTTTTCATCTTCTATTTAGTTTTAACCAAATGAGACATTTTCTTTGTAATCTTCTTCAGAGACAGGGACAGTTCCTAATTTCACAGGTAGAGGACAGAGGAAGGGAAGGTTTTGCTTTGTCCAGGTCGTTATTGAAGTCTGCCAAAGCTGGATTAGAAGCGAAGAGCCCTTGACTCCCCACCTTGTTCGGACCAGAGCTCAGCTTTATATTCTTGTGATGATCGAGGCTGGATTGAGGAATGGAGAGAGTTGTACCACCCATGAAAGAAAATGGGGAGCAAAAAGGCTGTGAAAGAGAAGGAACGGAACAAATAGCAGCAGGATGGTGCTGAATAGCTAGGTAAGAGAGCAGCCTGGCTGTGAGGACCGGCAGGATCAGAAAGCAGGAATAATGATCATCCCCTGGTGCTTCCCCTGGCGTAAGAGGGTAACCGTGTTCAGAGGTTAAGACTGTGGACTGTCAAATACGTGAGAGAGCTGAGGTATGCATGTGGCACTCTACTGTCCTCGTTTTCAGGCATGCTTAGAACTGTCGTGCTTCAGTGCATGTGGAAATGTGACTTTTGTGTTTATGTGCATGTGCGTGTTCACGTAGCGACAGCAAACGGTGCGGGGTTCGTTCTCAGTGTTTGTGCTTACTGTCTCTTTTCTCTCTCTCTCCAGTCGAAGACCACCCCCTTCACCTACTCGGCCCACTGTAATTCGTCCGTTAGATTCATCCCTGTTAGACTAAATGAAGTTTCTGGCATGCCATTCCTTGTTAACCAAATATGTGGAAGCAAATTGCTTGGTAACTGTTGCAATAACCAATGTATAGTCGCATGTATGGACATCTATAGGCAAGTAACCAATTTTACTGATATACTCTGTCCATTCTGCTTTGTTTATGAGGTCTTAAATGTTTTGGGAAGGTCTGTACTGTCTTGACTTTTCCTTTCACAATAGCTGATGTTAGCTAACTTACTGACACACGTGTTTGCTCAGGCAGCCATGCTCACGATCCTGTACACTCAAAGGAGGGCTTGAGTTTGTGTGTGTTTGTGCACGTGTTGATTTGAGCTGCATCTTCTTTTCTCTTCTCTGCGAGGAACCTTGCTTTTTATTTGTACCTTCCAGGTTTTCTGCCATTTGGCATTTTACAGTTGTGCCCACCTTCTTTTTTGATGGTTGAACCAGGCAAAGAAAACCAATGTGGTTTCTTATCAAGCTCTTCTGACAGCCCCACACCTCCATGCCTCTTTTGCAAGAAACTTGCTGGAAGGCTGCTTCTCCCATAATTTCTTCTTCTCCGAAGCCTAGTTTATAAGGAATGCTGTTAAACTGGAAGGGTGTGTATGGGACAATGTGTTTTATTTCCTTTCCTCATGGATGACTGATACTTCGAGCTTGGGTGATTAGTAAGGACAGGGCTGCAGTGCCCCAGCCTGCAAGGTGTGGAGCTGTCTCACTAGCAGCAAGGATGGGAGAAGGGTGGTTTGAAGAGCCAGTACATGACAGAGTGGTATGTGCTGGCTCAGTTTGTCCTCTGGTAGTGCTTACTCACCTTAGTCCTCCCACTGAACTCGTAGGAAGGTTTATGCCTAGGTAAGTGGATGTAGTGTGTATATATATATATATTGCATGGCAGGATCCAGGGAACTGAGCATTGTTTTGGGCCATTTTGTGAAGCAGAGGGGAGGTAGATATATGTACATATATGTATACACATATGCATACACGCATGCACAGCTGTAAATAGGTGACCACTCCTCTGCCCACTGCGTGAGCCAATTCAGAGCTATGGCCTAGATTTGCATCTGAGCTTTCCAAGGATCCACTGTGGATTTGAGATACTTGCTCACACCAGTCGATAAATTGCCGGTACGTCCTCCAAAAAAAGATTTTCTCTTTGCATTTCTTGATATCCCACACACCTCAGATTAGGAGTCACTTTATCCAGCCAGGTACTGAGAAGTGCTCAGCTGTGTACCCTGGCAGTGTATTATTTTAGCAGATGTTCACCTTCAGAGGTCCTCTCTGCCTGTTGCTTTACATGTTGTGTATCAATGTGTTATAAAAACCTTTTGTCTTAACTCGGCATTACTTCACTTTAAACACTTAGGGTCAGTGTTACCCGTGTAGTTTAAAACTTCTTGAGTCGACAGAATTAAGCTAGAGATTAATTTCAGAAAATATTAATTGCTGTTATTACAATTATGGTTACAGATCCCTAGGCAAAGCAATTGGTGGTTTCAAAGGTCCCCGCTATAATCAGTCCAATAAATTCATTTATTGAGGCTGCATGTAGGGCTCCAGTGCGCTGTAGCTCCGTGGTTAGGAAGAATCCAATCAAAGAGCCACAGCCAATGGGGATTTTTGCTGTTAAATATTCCCAGGCTGCTGATTAAATAAGTTGTGTTTGCTGCTGAAGCAAATCATGTTTCTGCTTGCATAAGAGAGACAAGTTTGGGAAAGCATCATGATTTGTATGTTAGCCTAACTTTAATTTCCTGTAAACCTCGTACTTACGACACACATGTGGGGAGTCTAGAGGTCAACATCTGAAGCATGGGGGAGATGGAATTTGTCAGAGCACCGGCACCTCGGTGATCTCAGAAAAGTCCTTAAATGGCTGCTGTGTGTTTGGAGAACAGGCCTACAGCTTCACAATCAGGTGCACAGAGTCAGCTTTCAAGGATGAAAAGGCTGTAAGAGGCTGTAAGTCCAACTGTGTGTTTCTGGTTTTTACTACTAAAAACCTACTCAAAGCATATTTTGATCATGTTTTGTGGTCTACAGCTTTCTGCTGCATGATGCTCTCTGCTGTTACGTGTAGTCCATCAATCAGGTGTATTTTTGTAGCTATAGTAGTCCATTTTGTTGCCTAGCCAGAAAATCTGTGTATAGTTTGTCAGAGCTCTATCACTGACTGGCAGCTGCCTTCTGACAGAAAGTCAAGCCAAGCACCTCTTGCAGCTTGGCCACAGAAGGTCACTGTACCCCCAGATTTGTTCAGTGATGCTGCAAGCCTATGGTTTGGGTTTATCCCACCTCACCCTAAGCGTTTTGCTGAGTTGCCTCCAGAAGGGGTGATTCAGACCGGTGTGACTGCATGGGAATGCTGGTAAGGTAGGAGCTTAATTAGATGACAAAGCTCTTGGCCTAAAAACATGTATTTAAATCCTCTGTACCTGAGACTTCTGAATTTAATGACTGTTTCTGTCAAGCATAAAGGAAATAGCTAGCACAGTTCAGCACTATCCTTAACTCTGCCCCACAGGAAATTGTATTTCTCAGCGGCAATCCTGAATTGTAAATGAAGCTCCCAGGAGCGGATTGAGGAGAGAAAAGAGGAGGCAGCAGTGAGGCACCCATGGCCCTGGTGTGAGCACCATCTGGTTCTGTGCTCAGTATTGAGCTTGTGGGACGTAGCAGGTAGCTGCACTCCCCTCCTCTGCATCTCCATCACACCTAAATCTGAACCTGCTGCTAAAATGCAATGCTTTTAGATGTGTAGGCTAATAATTAACCTTTAGCACAGATCCAGAGTTCGATGATTTTACCTCTTCTTGCATATATGCTTTTTAGAATCAACTATGTAGAATTGTTTCTAGAAAAAAATGCTAAGTGCTTCACAAGAAATTGCCACTTCCAACTGAATAAACACTCTGCTCCTAGTCTTGACCCCTTTTCTTGTACTGTGCAGTGCCTGGGATGGATGATTCTGGTGAGCCGTCTCTCTCCCATCCCTTGTTCTCAGAGGAGCAACTTGCCATCACCTCACTCCACACCTGAAGGAGAGGAGAACAGGCTCACCAGTACCTTAAGGGATCTACTGGGGGGGCTGGCTGGCTGAGAGTGGCTGCTGTCCCCTCTGCAGATACCCTTCCCCAGGGTCAGCTGAACCTGAGCTCCTGGATTGGAGAAGCACAGGTTACTCTCCCTTTGTTTGATCCCCTCTGGCAAAGCTCGGAAGATTGCTAAGGAGCAGAGGAGACTCCCGTTAAGCAACAGCAGGTTTTTTGAGCTTACGTGAGCCAGATGATGTAGGCAGCTAGGTTTCAGGAGGGTGTTTATCTAGTATTGCGTGTAGGCTAAGCCCGAGTCTCTGCCCGGAGAACATGTTCCACTTTTCCTTGTCATGGCTGACCAGCAGCTGAGGAGTTTGCTCATGCCGTAAATAGTTCTTGGCCTTTGATGTCAGGGGATCTTGCGTTACGTTAAAATGCTTGTATGTTCAGCGAAAAGGCTTATGTACATAGTTAACCTGTGTTTATTTTATTGCTGATCTTGTTGCACTTTGAGTAAGCCTCGTAAAAATAGATTATTATATTAAAGGAGATGTGTTAGAGGTTACGACACTTCATGTTAAAGCATAACATAGAAAATATTATACTCTGTATCGCAGGCCAATACACTAAACGTGTGTACATCATATGGAGATTACTGGCTAGTTCTGTCTTTCTGTCTTAAAACAGTCCAAACCTCCTGAATTGAAAGCAGACCTATTTTGCACATGTGGCACTGGGGAGACATGGACTTTTTGGGATGCTTGTGGCACACGTCCTCCCGCGGTGGCACTGAACCTCCTCCCTGGGCTCTAGCAGAACAGCTTCCCTGTGTAAATGAATGTTACTCTGCCTGTCTTTCCTCTTGCTTTGTCTGCAGGCGAGCTGATACCGATGGCTCCTCCCGTCCAGACAGTCCTCCACTCTTGCTTGATATATGATTTGTCCCGTCTTGCCGGCCGTTTGCTTTACTTCCTGTCTCTTTACTTTTCCAGGATGGTGTAAACAATGACTTCTTTTTGTAAGAAGCAAGCGCTTAATTTCTTTCCGAATTTTGCTCTGTATGTTAATGCCCTGTTTCATATGAGCCAAAACATCTGCCTTTGGTTTCGTAGTCTGTAAATGGTTCCTGGTGTTGACCTTTGAGCACAGTGAGTCGATTCCCGAAACCACGGTCATTACCGAGCATCGCATACACCTGCTGTAAACATGTTATGCTGCATTTCTGAACCTGAAATAAACTGTAACTCCTGCTGGGCTTTTATTATTACTTTCTGGATGTGCATGAGCGGGCTCCAGTCTTGTACCGTAATCTCAGCCTGCTCACCACCTCGGTTGGGTCTGCAGCGAGGATTTACCGGAGAGGTGCGTTGCTGTTCAGATCACTCCAAGTGTTGGGAAAAGGGGAGACGAGAGAGAAGTAGCCCACAGGAAGCATTCAACCTTCTGCCCTGCTAGGGGCTTGGATGCTTTGGGGATGTTTTGCTGAGTGGATATTTTTCAAGCAGAGCCTGGTGTTGGTTTCATTGCTGGGAGAAGCATATTTGAGGGGTGCTGAGAGCTGAGCACAGGGCCAGGGTGAGTCCTCAGGAGCAGAGTAAAACTGTGCCTGTGTACGTGTGCTGCTTGGAAGGGATTTCCCCTAAAGCAGTTGTGTATGACCACGCAGCTGCCTCAGAATGCCTTGATTACTCAGTTCCTCCCTCAGATTGGTACGAGCCAAGTAACTGGAATGGGTGCTCGGAGGAGCAGGTCTGCATGGCACAAGTACAGCACAGCAGCAGGGGGCATTTCCCACCAAGCAGCAGGCACTCAGCTGGTCCTTAGGTTTGGGGAAATTGGGAACAAAAGGTGGAACAAGCAAAGCAGTAACGTCCCCATTTGCGTTCACAGCAAGCTTGCTGTAACACTTGGGGACATTTTTTTTTTAATAGCCTTTAATGGATGCGCCCAAGGCAGTCTGCACAAGCTCCCTGAGCAAACAGCAGCATGACACACGTGTCCGTCTGCCTGGGGTACGTTACCTCTCCCTCTGTGAGTTGTTTCCAGGCGTGCTGGCCAGCAATGCACCAGTGCTGTGTGCTGGATAACGGGGTGAGCGGCCGCTCTTCTCCATCCAGGCCATGGAGCCATCCACTGCCAAGGGTCTCTCCTGCAGGTTTTGGCAGTAGATTGATTACGCTGCTGTCACCCAAGCTTTTAGCCTTCCCCAGCAAGGTTCCCTTCAGAAACCCCAGTCCAGCTCATAGACACATCTTGTTCGCTCGCTCCTGATTTCATCAGAGTCTCATTTGAAAAAGCACTATTCCAAGAGCAGCGTTTGCAGCAGGTAGTGGTGTAGATTTTAAGGCTGGCTAGAGAAAAGCTCTTCTAGGAGGATATTATTTCCTGCACGAAAAGTAGAAAGCCTCTGAGCAGCAACCTTCACACTTGTGATGGGGTTGTCCTAGCTCTCTGGCGCCAGCACATCAGATGGGAAATGGTGAGGATGAAAGCAGAGGCTGTGCTGATAGCCAGCTGATTCTAATCTCCTTCTTGCTCTTTTCCTCACTGTGCATGTTCGGTGCCTTTTTTTTCCTTAACCCATTTTGTTAAGATAAATTTGTATATGAGTCATTCTATTGTATCTCGACCTTTTGTTTTAAATCTCTTCTCCCCCTCCCCTTGAATTTTGGGTTATTTTTTGTCTTTTTCCTAGGCGACCTCCTCCAGCTGTTCCAGGAAGATCGTCCTAACACACACACATCTTTTTTTTTTTTTTTTGTTATGTGCAGTCTGTCATCTTTTCTCCAAAATTATCTTTAATTTGCACTAGTCTATTTGTAAATGAAATATTTTATTTTCAGATGTCAATGATAAGCCTGGATATAAAGAAAATAAAAGTCTGGCTACAAAATGAATGTGTGCTGGTTTTCTATTGAAGGATTTACCTACTGCTTCTCAAATGGAGCCATTAATGCTCCCTCCACAAAAGCAATTGCCTGTGCTCTGTGGAGACCCCCACCCTCCGAGGTGTTGGAGGGAGGGACGTACTGCTGGGATTCCACCTCCAATTTCTGAATTCACAAGCCACCAGGACTGCTCAGTGTAAATACCTTTGGCTTAGTATTAGCAGGAAGAAGAATAATCAACGTCTTGAACAACAGAGACTGCAAAAGGCTCCTAACAGATGCTTAACGCACCCGCAGCAGCACCTGGCTGCGTGCTGAGTGGAAAATTGAAGATTGCAGCAGTCTCTCTGCCGATGAATCTGCACACTTATAGACACATCGCAGCTGTTCTCACCGCTTTTTTCAAGCTAAACCTCTAAATTCTCTGCGAGCTGACCTCGTTGGAGCATCAGAGCTCAAATAGCTGCAGGTAGCTACCTCTGGGATTCCAAGTATTTCTGTCCCTCTGGCATCCGAGTGAAAGATAAGCAGGCCAGGTAAGATAAATAAGCCAGGTCTGACAAAGCTCTGCCGAGTTGGGGCAGTTTTTGCAGCTGATTTAGGACCCTGCTGACATCCCCTCTATCCAGGGAGCCATTGCCCCACCTGCACATGCTGGTAAATGCCAGCCTCTGAGTTTGCTCAAGTGATAGGGGGTTGTAAGCCCAGAGAGCTGCAGACTTGTACAGATTTTTGTTTGCACCTCACTTAGGCTTTGTCTTTTGATGGAGTACAACAAAGGAAACAATAAAGGTATTAGCAGAAAGTGGGGAAAACACAAAAGTGGAGGATCCTAATGGTCGTGTGAACATAACTTCCAAAAGGTAGGACGAGAAGTGAGCTTGGGCTGGCTTACTTTGCTGCATCTCTCAGCAGTGGAACTCGCTGCCCTCAGAGACAGAGGCAAAACAAACAACAACAAAAACAGCATTCAGGAATTGTGCTTTTCAGGATTGCAGGAGAGATGACATCTGTACCCAGCTGGCTCTGCAAGAGGCAGGAGGTTTTGGCTTCACTTCACCTCTGAGGTAAGAGGGAATGGGACCAGGCTGAATTTTACAAGCTACTTTTTTTTTCCAGGTTGTTCAAGAATCTGTTCTGTACTAGGGCAGCTCTCACTGCTCTCCCTCTATGGTATGGCGTGGTACTGAGAAAGGAAGCAATGACAAAAGGTGGCTGATACTTTATTTCTAAGGCTTTATCTACTGCACCTCAGAAACTGCTGCTGCCCTCCTGTCTGCCAGCCAACCTCAGTGTGTTAGGATGTAAGGCACAAAGTTCTTTCGGGGGATGTTTTATAGTGTTACATCTTTCACAGAAACGTTTACCTTCTTCAGAAGTATTTGATAAAAATGTTGTTGGAGATAGGACTGAACTTCATGGTTTTCAGGTAGCTACTCCTGAAATCTCATAAATAGTAGAAGGGGTTGGTTAGCATAAGGGCCTTTGTGCTGGGAAACCTTGGCCACGTGCTTTGGCTTCAGCTCGTGGGGTGACTTTCTGAAGAAGCCGTTTAACCTTGTCTGTGCCATTTCCATCTGGCAATGGCATATGTTCTGTGGGTAGGGGGAGAAGGCGGGTGGTGCTGCACCCCAGCCGGTGACATTATGCATCCCAGGCTGCTGCTCAGGGGATGATTTCAGACCAAAATCTTTGTTTTGGTTTCCTGATCGCTCAGACTCTTGCCGTTGCCTCTCGTGGCACAAAGCTACGTGACGTGCAGAGCAAAGCCTAGCGATTACTGTGGGAATTGGAGAGATAAAAAGGTCTTACCTTCAAAGACTAAAGCTTCACTGTTCCCAGGCTTCCCAGACGCCAGTCTCCCACGTGCAGGAGGGACGGAGGCCCCTGCCAGCCCGCTGGGGCTGCTGTGGGTGGCTGCCGCTTGCCTTTCCCTGCTGCACGCTCTGTAGATGGAGATTCCAGACGGCACGTGGCAGCGACTCCCCCAGGAGCACGGCTTAGCCCCAGCCAGCGTGCAATTACTTGCGTTTGGGCCAGATTCAAATCACAAGAAAACGTCCCAGTGAGGCGCTGCATCTCAGTGGGACTTGGGAATGACAACTAGAAAGAAAGGAACTGCGCTTTTGTAACACCAATTAATTTGTGTTTAAAAAGTTTAATTCTGTAGAGGTGGTTGATGATGATTCAGCTACGTGCGAACTACAAAGGACCTATTTCTTTGCTTGGTCTCATCGTGGGCACCAGCAAAGCCTCAGAACGAGGCTCAGGTAGCGAGTGCTCAAAGGGCATCCGATTGTACTGCTGAGTTGAACACAGTTACGGCTAAGTTCTGCTCTGTAGGGCATGTTCTGACCTCAGGCACAAAGACGTACTCATTATGGCCATTTATTCCAGCAGTGCTGCAAAGTGTGCAGGCTAACGAGGCACTGAAAGGAAGCAGCAGGGCAGAACAGAGAGGCTTGTGGCTGCGTGTGGAGATGAAGCTGCCTGCGGCAAGCTGAGCAGGACAAATCCTGGCTGGAGCCACCAGAGGTGGCCTGCTGGATCAATCCAAGCTCAGGGATCTCTGTTTAGTGACCTACTGGGTTCTAGTTGGGGTTGATACGATTGTGGCACAGCCACCACATGCCACAGTTAGCTTCAACTTGCCCAATAGGTCTCCATCGGCTCGAGGCTACCCCACTGGGAACCCATCTCCTCCTCCTCCTGGACATGGCCATTCCGCAGCAGAGCAGGTGACCTGAACATCCCAGTGTGGGGCTGTCCTGCTGTGCACCGAGCAGCTCCAGACAAGCAGAGAGCTCCAGTGAAGGTAAGAGCACGGACTCTGGATCATTTCGAGTCCTCCTCAGGGTCTGAGATGAAGCTTTGCTGGGGGAGCAACACAGAGCCACGGAGTCTCTGCTAGTCCTTGTGTTTCTAGCTCCCTTATTGCCCAGAGCCACATTACTTCGTGCCCATTGCCACTTGGAATCATACCTTGGGAACTGATATTTGCACTTTTCCTAACCCAGAGTTGGTTTTGAGAGTCTGAATTTGAGCGGATTATTTTTTAGGAAACATTTCACTTCGGGTGAATGTGTCTGGCAGAAATTATGCTTTCTTGTAGCCTTAAATCCAGCCTCAAAACAAAAACCCCGAGGCTACCTTGCCCTGTTTGCATTAGCCTAATGAACCATCAGATCCCTGCAACCACCTTGAGCTGGTGGTGAGGGACAGCTGCCCCCCAGCCCCATGTGCTGTGCCTAACGATGAAAACAGCCCCCACGCACACACCATTTTGTCCCCATTATCCCAGATATTGCACATTCAGAATGGAGTCTGGCGTGTGCTCCACCTGAGGTGCACCAGCAATTGATAACCACAAAGATTTATGACTGCAGTTAGGAACAGTTTGGGGACAGCGGTGTGTTTGTGCAGCAGCAGCTTCAAGTAAACCTGACTGCTGCTAGCACGGCCCCTACCAAGACAGAAATTAACTGCAGGAGCCAGGCAGGCTAGATTTGATTCCTTTCTTTGTCAATTTTTAACTTCTTAAATTTACACCAATCCCACTGGAGTCTTGCCCTACCGATGGACTCTGTGCATCTGCCTGGGGTGGCAGCATTGCAGTGGCATTAGCCTGACACAGGATGGGGCCCCCTGGTCCCTGGCAGCTGCCTGGCTTTCTTGGGAACCTCCTCGTGAAGAAATGATTTTCTTTCTGAAGGGCTGAAGAATGTCATCTTGATTGTGAGCATCTGGCTACTCCGCGCTCCCCGCGAGCCTGGAGCACATACTCTAAACCTCTGCAGGTTTTCTTTAATTAAAAACAAAATGAGATGTAGTTGTCACCATGACAACAAACAGCAACATTTAAAACTTGGCAAATGTCATAACAAAGCGCTGGAGGTGTTGGAGGCTCTGCAGTGGGTTCTCATTTCCTAGGAAGCCCAAGGAGCCAGCGCCTGCTCGCTGGGAAGACGCCAGTGCTCCACGTGAGCCGTTTGCCTGCAAAAAAACCCTTCACACTCGGTGGGTTTAATCGAGCAGGAACTCACACTTCTGCAGCAGTGGGGTGCCTTGCCCTTGTCACCTTTCACCATCCCAGAGCGTGCGTGCAAAGTTGGTGCTGCTGCATCTTACAGGAAAACTCACTGGGATGGTTTAAGCATCTCCTTGTACTGCTTCCAGGGTAGGAGGGGTCTGAGTGGCCTTTACACCAAAAGGAGCAGTGCTAGAGCGAAACACCGCAGGAATGAGAGCTGTCAGCCTCAGCTGCTGCAGGTCCCGTGGTCTGCAGAGGTGCTGCTGGTCTCAGACACTTGGTGGTGTGCCTCTGCATACAGGTGTGTCTGCTTGGCCCAAGTCCGTGCCCTGCTGGACCACCTGCCCCTGGTGCGTGATGGAAAAACTCAAACAGCACAGCAGGGCCGGCTCGTCCCGGGCTGGCCTCCAGCTTGACTTGTTTGCCAGGAGCGCCCTCTGTTGCGGTATGTGCGGAGCTGGACAGACGGACACTGGACAGATAGCGCTGGACAGGACCAGGCTGGGCCCTGTCACCGCTGCAGCACCCTGGGGCCGGGCTGGGTGCCCGCTGGGTGCACCCACAGAGTGTGCTGAGCTGCAGCTTCATCCCTCTGCAGGATTCTGCCCCGTCCCTCTGTCTCGATGGCCAGAGCTGGACAAAAATACCACCGTGGGTCTGCCAGGCACCACCCTGCTGCAGGGCTGTTACAGAGCACACATAGACACGTTTCCCACTGCTGTGTGAGAGGTTTTATTGAGTTGGGGATCCCCTCAGAAAAGTCCCTCCGTGCTTCTTGCAGCACAGAGCCCCTCTCCCCCCTGGCCAGGCCTACGTGAGGAACCTGGAGAGGTCCTCCTTGATTTCTGCCTCGTCCCAGGGCCCGTGGATGTTGTCCTTGAGCTGCTGAAGCCGGATGAGGCAGTAAGGGCAGAGGCAGGAGATGGAGAGCAGCAGCGAGGCGAAGAGCACAGCACCCACGCTGGAGACGCTCGCCAGCCCTGCCAGCGCCGCCAGCGCGAAGAGGACGGTCACTGCCACGTAGCAGCGCGGTGTCCGGGCCTTCAGCTTCTTCTGCAGCATGGGCCAGAGGGCGAAGATCTGCATGGCGAAGGTGACCATGACGAAGGCGTGGAGGGAGCGTGGCAGGCGTGAGGCCAGGCACACCGAGGCGAAGATGGCCATGTTAAGGGACAGCGTGCTGGACACGATGGCGGCGTTGGCGCCATAGTCGAAGAAGATGAGGTGGCCAAGGAGCATGAAGACCGACATGGCGTAGATCGTGTCCGTGCTGATGGACTCCGTCAGCGTCTTCAGCACTGGGGAGAAGCCGTAGGTGAAGGCGAGGAACACCAGCGTGCTCTTCAGGTCTGCCCACCGCGTCCGCCCGCTCTCCCGCCGCCCAACCCCGGCATCGATGGCATCGAAGAGCACGTAGCCGAGCAGCGAGGAGGCCAGGGCCGCCCCAAACAGCCCCTGCGGGCTCAGCACCCCGGCGTCCATGTACCACCAGGTGACGACGAAAACGCAGACGCTGCAGAGCTGCTGCACCACGGCCCCCGACTCGAAGACCACGGCCCAGTACTGGTACTGGCGGGCGTGGATGTTCTTCCGCAGCTCCTCCAGGAACCTCTGGTCCACGTAGTTATCGGGGAAGGGCTGCCGCTCGTACAGCACCTTCTGCCAGCAGCGCCTGGGGCTCGTCTCCACCTGCGCACACACCATGCTGCAGCCCAGGGGCTGAGGAAGGAGCCCGCTGCGGGACCCCTTTGGGCTCTGCCAGCGGGCTCGGGCAGCACCCACCTCCCCCTACAGCCCCCCCCCAGGCACGGATAAGAAGCGGGGGCTGCCCACAGCGGCAGCAGGAACCCCTCAGAGCCCCCCCGGCCGCGGGGAAGGGACGCGGGATCCTCCCGGCCCCGCCGCCTCCGCCTCAGCCGAGCCCGGGCGGGCGCAAGGGACGCCGGGGAGCCCGCAGCCGCCATCTGGCGGTGGGAGCCCGGCCCTGCCCGGCTGAAGGGGCCGCTAATGAAATTCTCGATGATTATTAAATGACGAAAGATCCCCCTCCTTCAGCTCGTGACAGAGCAGCAGGCGCCGAGGCTGATTTTAGTTGAAGCACAGAAAGCGTGTGGGTGTTCCCAGCGCAGTGGGGAGGGGGAGATGGGACCCCCTGGCAGCCCACCCCTGTGCTCGTTTAGCCACCCCGCTTTGGTTTGGGGTTCCTTTGGGGTTCCTGTGAGCAACCACAGTGCTTTGGGGACACTGTGGCACCTCAGTGGTGTGAGCCGCCCGGGTCTGAAGGGCAGCTGGGTACGTCCAGGTGGCCCAGACTTTGCCTGTGAGGCACTGACTCACCTGTGCCTGCGTGCCACGCCACGGGACCGGCCACGTCACCGCCCGTCCCCACCGGTCAGAGGCGAGCCATGGAGTCACCCCTTGGCCCTGCCGGGGCGACGTGGCCGGCAGGGTGTCTTGGCAGCAGAGCAGCTGGGAGAGGGACATTCCCGTCACGCCCCGAGCAGTGCCTAGGGTCAAGGGTGCGAGCCCCGTTGTGAGCGCCTCAGTTCCCACTCTTCATTCCGTGCAGCATTCGGGGTTTGTGTTTCCTAAACCCCAGCTCGGGGGAAAGAAGCCGGCACCAGAGCACTTCCCCAGTGCCCCCCAGCCTGCGTTTCGGCTCTGAGACCACAAGAACGACTGTGGCGTTGCACAAGCGACCCTGCCGCGGACGTGCTTGGTTTCTGCAGGGCTCCCAGCCCCGCAATATGCCGCTAAAGCTGCTTGGAAGCGATGCTGGAAAAGGTGACAGGCTGGGATTTAAATAGCTGTGACTGATCTAGGCCTCCACCAGAGAAATCTGAATATCAAAGCATTCAAGGCACCGGTCTCAGGGGCTGCCTCAAAGTGTGTCTGCGTGTTCCCAGCGCAGGGCGATCAGGTGGGAACTGGTGTTTGTGGTGTGGCCCCCGTGCTTGGGGGCCGAGCGTGCCTGAGGCTGCAGGGATAAGCATGGATCCTGGGCATCCCTGCATCCTTCAGCTCCTTTTTTTCCCCGTTATCCTGCCCGTGCTGAATCCAAAAGGGCACCAGGAGCAGGGCAGGTCACCTCACGGCACACACTCGGCCCTTTTTGCCATCCCGAGCCGCTGCTGCGGAGCCGGGCCCATCCACAGGCAGGTTTTGCTAGGTGTGGGGGCGGTGGGACCGGCAGGGCTGCCTGCAAGCACAGCTACACGCGCCCGGGCTTCATTCCTCTGACAACTGATCCCTGAGTTTTTCCCTTTGACCCTGGAGCTGAAACCTCCCTTTGCAGGAATGTTTTCGGGGGGAGTTTGGCGCAGCTCCAGCTGCTGAATTTTTCCATGAACAGAGACCAGCCCCTGCCTTACAAGGCCCCACAGCATTTGCTGCGGCTGCTCTCCTGCAATCACCTATTTAAGGATTTAAGTCCCCAGTGGGGAGTGGGACAACGCCAGCCCTTAGGCTCTGAGCAGCCCTGCAGCCACAAAGCTGGCGCTGGTGGCTGTGAGCCCCATGGGAGGATGCTGGGGCACATGGAGCTGGTTGCTCAGGCTCCCCCTGCAGCAGTGGGCTGCTGACCACCTCCGTGAGGGTTCTCCTGTGCTTGTTGTTCCTAAAAAGTACAGCAGACTGAGCCCAGTTCTCCTGATCATCCCCCTTGCCATGCACAGGTTGGGTTTCCTGGCTCCAGGTCCATATCCCTGTCCCAGGGACAAGGTGACCCTGCCGGGGTCCCCTTCCAGCTTGAGGGCAGGGATCAATGGGATCCTGTCCTGTAGGGGATCTCTGTGCGAGTCACCAGTTCATTTATTTTTTTTTAATGTTTTTTCTTTTTTTTTTTTTTTAAATGTCCATAGGAAACAGCAGCCAACAATGATGTGAAGAATGCACTCTGCCAGCTGCAGGCCAGGCGCTCCAAGGTGGGACACGGCCAAATTTCAGCTGCCCAGGTAACCTCAGCTCAACCCACACTGTACGTGGCACATCCTTAGTGCCCAGGGAGGAAACCAGGCTTCGGGACACAGCTGCAGCCTGTCTGAGGGACACGCAGGTGGGTTGTCACTGAAGCTGGGGATGAAAAAAGCAGGTTTGTGAGCAGGTTTGGTCTCAAGTTCCCAACAGCAGGCAGAGCAGGGCTGGGGCTCCCAAATAAAGCTTTTGTCAGGCGGCTTCTGACTGCGTTCCTCTTTGTTTTGCCCCAAACTTGAAGCCTGGGGATGGGATGTGAGGTGCTGACCCAGATCTGCCGCAGTCAGTGGAAACACTTGAAGAGCTGTAGGTGGCTAAAACTCGCCAAAAAATCAGCCCCTTGGGGGACAAAAGCAGGGACAAAAGTGTTTGGGGGTGCTTGCAGGGAGGGCGATGGTTGCTGGCCCCAGCCTCCCCTAGCAGCTCTGGCACAGCACAAGCGGCGTGAAGGGATGTGGTGTTTCCTGGTGAGGTTTTTACTGTCTGCCCAGGGGAAATTTCTGTTCTTTGGCTGCGTAAGTGCAAAAAAAAAAAATAAAAACAGAAACAGGCTGGGGGGGTGGGGCAGGTAAACTGGATGAAACAGAGTACAGAAACAGGGCAGCTTTTATAGGAAGCGTAGAGGGGGCTGTTGCAGGAATGTGAGTTGAAAGCAGTTGTCCCAGGGCAGAGTAAAGGAACCTGGTGTCTGTGGTGCATGCCGTGTGCTCACAGAGATGGTGGCTGAGCGCTGAGGCCATCCCTAGAGCCCTGCCCGACAGACTCCCCCTTCCACTGATGCTGCTGATCCCTTGTGCTAACCAGGGGGAGAGCAAAGCTCAGAGCAGTGGCGGGGCTTTCCTCTGGTTGTACTCTGTCACTGCAGGGGAGCTGAAAGGGGCCATGGCCTGGGTGAACCCCACCTGTAACATTTTTTCTTGCCTGCAGAGGCAAACCATCCACGTGGGTTTTGCTTGTTCCTGCCCTTGCAGGGTTGCCCTGGGGCATTCGATTCCCTGGGAATGGCCCGCAGGCCCCTGGTCATCTGCCTCCCTGTCTTTAAATATCCGCCAGAGAGCGGAGGGGATGGAGCCAGGTGGGAATTTGGTTTATTTTAGTGCTTGGCAAGATGGGAAAGGAAGCAGCTGAGCCTACGGGGGTGCCCTTTGCGTGACCCGGGCGCTTGCACCGCTGTGAGCATGGTGCCACCAGCTCAGCCCAGTCCCTGTGCTGTGCCAGGGGAGTTTTGTTTTTTACAGCCCTTCTCGTCCCTTGGCATACATTTGGCATGCTCCTTGTGCCACCGGTACGAAGCTGCAGGGGATGGCTGCCCTAGACAGCCCCCAGCCTGGGGTGCTGGCAGTTTTGGTTTTGTGTTGACGAGGTGACAGCTGTGCCACCTCTTTGCCCTGCTTTGGCCTCAATTTGCATGAGGGGCTGCTCCCCCAGCCCCTCAGCACCTTGTGGGCAGCTTCAGCCCACGCTGTCCTCCCAGAAATAGAGCCAAAAGCACAGCTTTACGCCTCCAAAGGCAAGTTTTGCCGTTTCTCTGTTTCTGTGGCAAGATTTGGTTTCTCTCTTTGCAGGAGGGCACGGCCAACAGGGAGCAGTGCTGCTGTGGCATGGAGCTCTGTGACAGCACAGCTGGCATGGGGCAGTGGCCTCCACACTGGGGTCACCCCAGCCCGTGGGGGCCAAGGACGTGGTTTTGGTTGTGTCACAGCTGGGACAGGACCAGGGCAGTGGTAGGAGCCTGGGAGGTGTCACGCTGCTCACTCCTCTGCCTCAACAATCCGTGCTGGGATGCGGGAGAGTGCAGGAGGCGACCACTGGCATTACCTCCGCCCATCTCCTGCCCCAAGCACGCATCCACCAGGGCTCTGGGAGCCGTGGGACCCTGCCTGGTCTACCCGTGCCAGATGTCAAGGCTCTCGATCGGCGCCGGCTGGCTGGAGATGAAAGCAGCCACGCTCCCACACTGGGTCACGCAGTCCCTGCCAGACACTGCTGTTTGCCGTCCCCCCTGCCTGCGGGGAGAGCTGCCTGCCTCCCCTGCAGTGTGGCTGCACACCCAGGCGAGGGTCATCAGTGCTCCATGAAGCAGAGATGGGCAAAAACCTGGGGACAAGAGCTTGCAAACTGCCTGGGGACAGATCTGGCTGTGGGGACAGGTTTGTGTTCAGAAGGAGTGGGTCGTTGCCCCATCTCAGGGCACTGGCACAACCGTGGGATCCTTTAGGATGAAACAGGACCTCCTCAGGAAGCCACTGGCCTCAAATCCCCCTGCTGGAGGCCGCAGTAGGACGGGGAGTGCCGAGCCATGACCCAGCACAGCACCAAGTTGTCACTGATGTTATGTTTGGCCAGCACCAGCCTTCCCCAGCCCCCAGATGGGGTGATGAGAGCCCAGGGCAGCGCAGCAGCGTTCAGAAACAACATCGAGCCCCCCCAAAATTACAGTGCTAACTTTGGAAGGTGTCACAGCGGATGGGCAGAGTCCCCGTGGAAGGGAGAGCTGAAACCAGTGATTTCCAGTGATGTGCTTGTTCTGGGGCTCGGTGCCGGGACGCATTAAGCAAACGTAATGAGGCATCGCGCAGAGCAAGCCTTTCAGTGACCCTACCCTACTGTATCTGCTGTTTATCGGGGGTCACTGTGACCCCTGTCTCACATCCAGGAGTCTGGCAGCCCCGCAGCACACCGTGGCATGCTGCAGGCTTTAGGTAATGCACAGGACGGGTGCAGGAAAGGAAATCAGCAAGCATGCACGAGGAGTTGCTGGGGTGCACATTTGGGATCGCACAGGAACACGGCACAAATGCCACCAGCACCCCTGGTGCCCCGTGCCAGGGGTGACATCTCTCAGGAGCTCCCACAAAAAAAAAAAAAAAATCTATCTCACAGCATTTATTGGGTGATAAAAGAGCAGTTGGCAGCTCTGCTGGAAGCAGCATTTCTCCTGTTTGGTTTTGCAAGGAAAATTATCCCAAACCCACTTCTCGCACAGCTCTTTCCCCTTTGATGTGAGCTGAAGAGTTTTTGGCTACCCAGACGTTTCAGGGCTTTTTAAAAAAGTTTTACGCTGTTTCGCTGGATTTCCCCCCGCAAGTGGATTCCCCCCCGCAAGAGGTTAACGGTTCAGCTGTAAGTTAGAGGAAGTTATCTGAAGCAATCTTGCAATTTATAGCTTTTCGTTCACTAAATAAGAAACGGTCAGGAAATTAAACAGGAAATTGCATCTGGAAGGAAAACTCAGACAAAAGTTGAGTTGTCAGAACACGCTTAGGAAGGATTTGCTTTATTTTAAACAGTAAGGAGCCAAGATCAATAGTCAGAAAAAGAAGGAGCTTTGTGCAAATTAAATCACACATTAAGGAAAAAAAATAACAAAACACTTGGGGAAGAAAAGAAGGTTTTGTAAGGAGAAGGTGAGGATATCCTATGAAAAATCAGAAGTAAGGCTTCGCATTTTCAGCTTGGAGGTGCTGAAACACAAAGGCCTAGCTGAGAGCTTTACTTCAGCCTGTGCCAGCCTGGTTCCTGGCGTTGCCCACACCATGCTTCACTGTGTGAGAAGCAGAAGCCAACAAGTGCCAAACACGATGCAGCTGCAGGGATCTTTCCAGGCCTCCCTCCTCCAGCAAAAGCTGCCGAGACGCTGCGTGCTCCTGGCCTCAGCTTTTCTGCAGGGTTGCCCAGCGGGGAGGGCCAGCCCCAGCCAAATGGGACTGCTGGGCAAGGGAAAATGCAGCTGTGAGCACTGCTGCTCCTTCTGCAAACTGCAGTGCTTTATAAGGATCCCAAGCAAATATTTGCTCCCGTGTCGCCTACGTGCATTGTTCTCAGGGTTAATTACAGGCTCCAGCAGGGAGATTGGGTAAGCTGTGATGTTGTTTTACCATCATACTCCTCATCTTATCAGCGTTTGAGAAGCAAGCTTAGCAAGTGCCGAACTGTACGGGTAGGTCAGGGCTGATGACCCGAAGCCTCTGCCTGGCAGGTGGCACTGAGGGTTTTCAGGTGTACGCTTGTACCTGGCGGCACCTGACTCGAGGAAGCTTTTCTCCAGGATCCTTTATTATATTTACTGTGGTGGCTTCCCTGAAACAATCTTTGCTATGACAGCTCTTCAACTGTGTATGGTTCAAGCTGCATGTGATTAATCCCCTGCTGATAAGAGGACCATAACACATGGGAGCCGTGCCAGCCCCGAGCAGCCACGTGGGCTGAGCAAATGTGGCCACGGAGGGGACCTGGAGGAGGCAGCTGTGGCCGAGGGTCGTGTTGCACTGCCTCTTGCAGCACTGTCCACCCCCAGGAGGAAGATTTTGGGCACTCCCTGACATGGTTAAAATAGCTGCGGGTGCGGCGTGTGCTGTTGCTCCCACAGCTTGGAGAACACTGAGGAAGTTTGGGGGAATTTCCCACCACCAGGGGCACGGCTGGGGGACCTGCAGGGGGATTTCACTCAAACAAAGCAAGAGCTCGGAGCCTACCACCCATTTCTGACAGGGCATTTTAACAAAGGGCCACCCTCCTCTTAGAAATGCCGTTGTTTGACTTGGCAGCGTGTCCTGAAGGTAATAACTGCTCTATCATCATCGCACTGCCACTGTGGAGACTCTGCCCTTTGCGGGAAGAGGTGGCGTGGTTCTGATGCAATTAGCAGGACATCCCCTGCAAGAAGGTGTGACAGCACTGGTAGAGAAAGGCAGCCGTAGTGGCACACCATCAAACCACGGGCATGGATGTGGGATCCACGTGGGACTCGGCAGGTTTGTGAGCTGCAGTGGGGTGGCCCTGGAGGGGACTCAAAAGGGTTGGCCTCAGGCGCAGCCCTGTCCTCACCCCATTGTGCCCTTTGGGACCAATGTATGCACTCATAGGGGATCTGCTAGTCTAAAACCAGGTCTGAAAACACTCTTCAGGACTCAAAGCATACTCAACTTCTGGGGCTTGACAATTTTTGGCAAGAAAATAAAAAAGAGCGGGCTGTGCTTCTTGTGAAAACGTGTGCTTTTATGAAATGTTTCCTTGGCAGGCTGGCTCAGGTCCCGCCAAGAGCCACCTCAGCAGCACCGTGCCCGGGACGAGCAGCGCAAACACCTCTCAAACACCTCTCCTGCAGCCGGGAGGGCTGGAGCTCCTCGTGGGCCGTGACTCAGCCCTTCTGCACCTCCCTCGGGGCGAAGCCGCCCTTCCTCACCCCGAGCCGTGGTGTGGGGTGAGGCTGTCCCCGTTGGCCGGAGTCCTGCTGTGTGCACATTTCCAGTGTGGCGTGCTTGTGACCGTTCACCCACGAACCTCGGGGCTCTCGTCATGCTGTGCGGGTGGGAGAGCGGGGTGTCCACAGTGTGATGTGGTGCTTTTTGTCACTGCGGCTCTGCTTTGTGTCACGGGGGCTGCGTTAAAACCGGGATAAATCCTGTGAGCACACCGCTGGCGTGCACCTGAGCATGTTCTGCCCCAAGGCTGACCACCCTCTACTTATTACAATGAATAAATTAATAGTAATAACGAACAATAACGGCTTGGCGCGTCTCGGGCACCCCTGTGCCTAAGCACGCCCCGAGCTGCCTCCTGTGAGGCTCCCTCCCTCCCGCCCCCAACCCTTTTATAAAATGGCCGCCGGCCGCCTCCCCATCACGAACTACAACCCCCATCACCCCCCGCGCTCCCCGCGCGCGGCCCGCTGGGAAACGTAGTTCTCCCGCCCCCCTCTGTCGCCTTTCTCCCCCGGACGGGGCGGGGCTCCCCGGCTGGAGCTCGCCTCGCCATTGGGCGCGGCGGGGCGCGGCGCGTGACGCGCATCCTTCCAGCTCAGCGCGTGCGGAGGGGGGGGGGGAGAGGGGAAGGGGGCGGGGCTGGGCGGGCGGGTAACGGCCGCGCTCGCGCCGGAGCCGCCTCAACGGCCGCGGCCCCGCCGGCGGGGGGAGGATGCGCCGCCAGCCGCCGACATGAGGGGGCCGCCGGCCCGCAGCGCCTGCCTCTGCCTCTGCGCCCTGCTCTGGTGAGACCTTGGTTCCCTCGCGATTCCCTCACGGCTCCCTCAGGGCCCCCTCGAGGCCTGCGCGGGGCTCTGGCGTTCTTCCCCTGCCTCGTTTTGGGAGTCGTGTGTGGAGAATTGGGGGGGGGTCGGGCCGGGATCTTGGTGTGTGGGGGGGCCCGGCCGCTGAGGGGACTCTGGGGTTGTTGTTGGGTAATTTGGGGGTACATTGGCCCCTCTCGGCGCCTTGTGGGGTTTGGGAGGCGGCGCAGTGAGGTGAGGGAGGTAAAAGGCAGTGCGGTGAGTGCACAAGGAGGTTCTTGGAAGCCCTGCTGCCAAACTGCTTCGTATCGTCGCCTTTTGGGGTTTAGGAAACCTTATACTGAGTACTGACAGAGCTTGGAAGCTTAGCCGCTAAATTGGTTCATATCGTCACGTTTTGGGGTTTAGGAACCAATACGCTGAGTACTGACAGAGCTTGGAAGCTCAGGCACTGAATTGGTTCATATCATCGTGTTTTGGGGTTCAGGGGGCAGCACAGTGAGTGATTTGAAAGCGTGGCTGCCAAAATTGCTTCATATCGTCGCGTTTTGGGGTTTAGGAAACAATACACCGAGTACAGAAAGAACTTGAAAGCTCAGTTGTCAGATCGGTTCCTATCATCGTATTTTGGGGTTTAGGAAACAACACGGTGAGTACAGGAAGGATTTGAAAGCTCAGCTGTTGGGTTTACGTTTAGGCGTTGGGTTTACGTTTAGGCAGATTTTTTAAAAGGAATAAAAAGCTCCTAGCCGCGTGTGGCAGGCTGAGCTGTGAACCTGCTGAAACTGGCTCCAGACACCTTCCCTTCACTTGTAGGACGATTAAGCCTCTTTCCACACAGGGTTCCTATGTGTATAGGTAGGTTTCTTCTCGGAAGTTTTTGTTTCTTCCTGGGGATTGGAGGCGGATAACCTGTTCCTGCCCGGAGGTATGTTGCTCAGGGAGCTGGTCATGGTTTAATGATACATAGGTGACTAGAGAATTTTGTTGTTCTTCTTAATAGGCTGTTATAGCAAGGTTTGTCTCTGGTTTTCTGTTATTTTAAGAAAAATTTCAGGCATCTTTTCCACAGTGATTAAGGAATATCATGTCTAGCAAACTTCTTTAAAATCAGATGCTTGCTCTGTAAAGTTCGGATGATTTTTGTGTACATATAGGAGAAAAATTGGCTTGAGGTTTTTTCTTTCTCTTTAAAAGATTGCTCTTTCAAGCAGTCTTAACAGATCCCAGAGCTTGTGCTGCAGTATCCCAGAGCTCTCGCTATTAAAGTGCAGATCATGTTCAACCTGCTCGCTCTGACTACTTCTGATTAAAGAGCTCCTGGACTAATTCAGCTGTTGGAAGGACACAAATCGACTTCTCTAGTCTCTGTTGGACAAACAGCAACTTGTGTTAAAGAGTTTAATATCCTCTGTTTGCAGCATGGTGCTGCAGCTTTCCCTCAGTAGCCATGTCAGGTCTGCAATTGGAAAGTCTAAGTCTTTTAATCCCTGTCGTGTTGCTGAGCTATGTAACGTGGTAAGTTGTGGTGTATTTAACTTCTTCCTAAAAAGAAATTCAGCGCTCTTGTTCGTGTAAACTGTAAAGCAACTTGAAATAGTAAATGGAGGGCTTTGACTGTGTTACAAATGTTGGCATGAATGACAACTGGTGGATTCTCAAATACAGTTGTCTGGAAATGGAATCTTGAAAGGATTTAAATGCTGGGGGGAGAGAAGCTGTTTTTACAGGTGAAAGTAACTGTCAACAAATTAAAACAAAAGTAGGAAAAAATGCCAGGCAAAAATAAGTCCAAGTGGCGCTGAGAGCGTTTTTTCAGTACCTCTCTTTAACCTGAACTTTGTTTTTATTTCTGGACAGGCACTTGCTTCCTTTATTTCATGAAATTAAACTTAAAATAGTTTTTTTTTCTCCATACCATACGTTTTGAAGTTTGTCTGAAGAAGCTGGACCAGTGGAGGAATACCAGTTTGGTTAAAGGGGGAGGATGGCAAGGTTGATTTGCCAGCTTTCTAACTACAAGATGTTTTAAAATATCTCATCTGGTCAGTTAAAAATGTATCTGCCTATTAGAAATGTACAGAAAAATAGAAGCAGCTCAAGTCTAGCTTGTTAGCTCAAGCCCCTTTGGTAGTAGCAGTACGGAGCTCTGTGGGAGCACAGGATCACAGGTGTGGCACTGGAGGCTTTCTGAAGTACACTGCATGTGGAAGGAGCACAACGGTGAGCAGCCTGGGCTGGTGAGCTTGTCCCAGGGAGTTCAAACGAGTGGGATGGCTGCAAGGCTTTAGAGAAGTAGTTTTGATGGGGATGAGGCTTGGGAATATACTGCTTTAGAAATAAGACTCCCGTTGTCCTGAATTCACAGAGATTTCTTTGTTATGCTTCTGTGAATCCCTTTCTGTGGATGTTTGCCGCGGAAAAACACCTTTAAAACTTGTGGTGCTTCAGGCTGACAATGCAGACGGAGCTGAGTAAGTGGAGTAGAAGCTCATAGGAACTCAGCTGAACCGAGACCAGCCGTGACAGTTGTTTGAACAGTAACCTGTGTAAATTGCTCTGACATCAGCTTTTGCCTAGCATGCGCTGCACTTTCAAAGGGTTAGCTATGCATTTGATAAAGAAATCATGCATGCACTGATTTGTCTGGGATAGAATGAATCAGAAAGTGCTTTGCACATCCTGATCTACTTAGCTTTTACGAACCCTTTCATAATCTCAGCTTTGCAAGTATGAATAAAAGGAAAATGGGGATTAAGTACGTGTGCACATCAGGGTTCAGTTGTGGCTGCCTTGTGAGCGTGCTGCATCAGTGCAGGAAGGTTTGTATCAACGTGGCTGGCAGCAAGGTGTGCTGTTGCTGTCAGAAGACCCCTGCTGAAGTCTTGCATCCAAATCCATAACAAGATGTACCCTGAAAGCTGTACAGGTCAGCAGTATGGCTGGGCCTGGGGCTGCTGTACAGGTACATCTTGGATCACTTTGTATTCCTCCCTGTGACAGGTTAAATGTGAAGATTTATGCAGATCTTAATGAGAGGGTATTCCTACTTTCCTGGTCTTTGGTTTGCATTTATGGTCTTGTACCTTTTTGAGGGTGTGCTTGTGGAAGGCTTCTGCACTAGGAGAAGAGCTCCAACAGTCTGTGCTGTGCTGGCAGTGTGAGAACATCGCTGGGGTTTATCTTGCCCCCTCTGTCCTGAGCAGACAAAAGCTGTTAGCCGGCTTAGAGATCACAGAAGTAGAGGCTTTGCTGGTTGAGCAATTATTGGCCCTGTTACTGACTTCTTGCTTAAACCTTGGGCTTGTCTGTTAACGACAGCAGGGTGCTGAGTGGCAGAGCTGGGGGCGAGATGGGTTGAAGGCACCGCCATGGGGTTTGTGCTCCAGAGCTCAGCGTGCCTCTTGTTGCAGAGCTCTCCTGGGGTGGTTTCAGGGGGCTGCCCAGGTGGAGCTGTTGGGGGAGCTCACTTGTAATGGTGGTCACAGTTCGGTCACTATCTGCTGCTTCTCCCACTGCATAGCTACAGAAACCTCCCCCAAAAAATGGTGCTAAAATTAAGGATCGTGTGCCTGCTTTTTGTGGCAGGAAGAAATAATTTGGGTACTGTCGATATGATTAAAAACTCCTGTTTCAGGCATCCTATTTTAGAATGAAGATGTGCTCTTAGATGTGCAGGGTCTTGTTTGGCAGTGTCTTTGCTCTGTAGCTGAGGCCAGGGCGCGAGCTGCCTTGTGACTCCTGTCTCTTAAAGCCCAAGCCGTGCCTGGTTTTTCCTGGCTCATGTGGAGGTGCTGCGTGCGAGCAGGGGCTCTGGTGTCTTTCCTTAAAAACAACCCTTGAATATTTACCTTCATTGATTTTCAAAGAATTCTAGAAATGCTTTCATGCCATATCTTCTAAAAGGTTTGTCCTAGAAACTTCAACTTGTTTGCTTGTTGCAGGAGCGGTGCGTGGGAGTGGCGTGTGCCCCCCTTGTCAGGCTGCCGTGCTCCTCTCCGGGACCCTGCCCCTTGTGAAGAGATGCTCTTGGCTTCAGCGCTTCATCTTTTTCTGAAAGGCCTTTCTCTATCTTACTAGTAGTTCCTCTTCGCCCTCACGTTCTTTCCACTGTATTTTCCAGAATGCTTTTTTGCTTTTGTTGTCTTTCACTTCCATTATTAGACCAGCACTCTCAAAGTCCACATTCCTTTCAAGGGGAGGATACGCAGCTTCTCTTGAAGTTACCGCTTAGAGGAGGTGAGAACAGCCCTCTGTCTGAAGGGGGGAGTGTTTCTGAGCATTAAAGCTAGCACGTCCTTTGGCTGAAATCAAGGTAATGCAGAACTGTAAGTCCACTACAAAATTTCCTGTAATTCTTGGGGAAATTAGTGAGCTGACAGAACAGGCAGACCGATCCCGAAACTAGCACAGGGAACTCTTGCTCAGGTGAGTGAAAATATTGCTGTAAATGACTTAAAATCCTTTCAATTGAAATGTCAGCAGATGGTTTGAACTGT